TACTGCTGCCTCTGCCAGTAGGCCATACATAAGGGATGAGGTGACGTGGAATCTTCTGGACGGCGTGGACTTGATATGATCTGAAGGTTTGAAATTCCTTTGGAAAGCAATCGGACGGCGTAGATCACACGTTTTCACCCTTTACTATAAAAAGTAAACACTAAAACACCTTTTCACCTTTAACTTTTTTTTTTTTTTGGTAGAAACCTTTTCACCTTTAACTACGAAAAGTGAAACACCAATATGCCTTCTCACTTTTTCTCTGCTCTCTTCCCGCGTCCCCGCCCTCTCCCTCTCCCTCTCCCTCTCCCTCTGCCTGTGTTCTTGTCCTAACCGTTGGTGGAGTGGGCAGATATCTGATTGCCATTCTGTCATTGGGGCCAAGAAGTTTAGATAACGGAGTGTTTTTCACTGCTCTGTTTTCTTGACGGTTCTTAGCCCCGATCTGGTGCCATGGGGATTCGGATTAGCGCTCTACCGGCTCCTGGAGGATAGATCTGGTGTGCTCAAACTAAGAAACATCGCTCTGTTTCCTATCGTTTCGTAGAGCTAGTCCACGGCGCCAACCGGTGTTCATAGGTGCCAGTGATGTGTTCTTGGTTGTGCCTGTTGGCAATTGAATTTGTCCACGACTGCGGTCAGGTGGGTACTCGCTGTCTTTTCTATTTTTTTGGATTTTTTTTCTAAATTTATTTTAGTTGCCTTTGAAATCGATACAGTTCTTATTGAGGTGTTATGTAGGCGAGGGAAAATGTATATGTTTTTCTTTTTGATTTTTGTAAGAGTGATTTCTTGTTTGGTGAATTTAATAGTCTGCTTGTTATGTTATTTTTGCTGTTTATGGAGTGTTTCATTGAAAAAGTGAATTCGTGAGAATTAAAAACTGGAAACCTGGAATGGCTGCTACAAGAACTGTGCGTAAAATTTTATTTAATCAATTTAGATGTTTTAGCGATCATTGGTAAGGATGCAGTTTTCCTTCACTTGTTAGCATTTTCCTGATTCCAAATCGTGTTCTCATGCATTTTATGCAAGCGCATAGGAATTTGTTTGTTTTATTTATGGTTATTCTTTAAAGGGCATGAGATTTAATTGCTCTATTGCATTTGGTTCCTCTCCATCTCTCTGTTTGATTGCCAAAATTCCTAGTATGCCAAAAAATATGTTTGATTCCTGATGTTGATAAGTTCATAATTTTTTATGTTAATGCCTTCTATTTGAGAAATATGATTGTTTGACCCATAGAATTATGGTTATTTGAAAGTACTGGGGAATGTCCCAGTTTACAGACATTGCATTTTTGAGATTTGGTTAATAAAAAATGCCCTTTTCTCAAAAAAAAAAAAAAAAAAAATGTTATGATAAGTCAACAAGTTAATAGCTGTCTGGTAGGTGTTGGAGACTAGAGAGGCTGCAGTTACTGCTACCAAAATTGCATTATATTTTGTTAGGGGAAGTAAATAGAAGGTTCTTGTTTTCACTGTTTCAAATCAAGATTAATTGAGTGTCATTTTTATTCTTTATTTTTTTTTTCTAGTCTGAAGATTTTTCTAAAAAACTGAATGGTTTTTAAAAATTCATTTGCTAAAAGTTGAAGTGACCATTGATGATTTGTTGATATTTTTCCCAGTTTGAAGAACATTGTTTAAACTTTTAAATGCAAGCAAATGAAGGAGAGGAACATTGCCATTGGACATGACCAACAGATACAGTTGTATTTTCAAGCTGCTGGAGGATTGTGATTGAGCATTCTGAGCAAATCAGTTTGATGACGTGAAGGTTTATATTATGTTTGGTTTTCTACACTTTCTAGATTGTTACTGGTCTAGGTTGATATCTTCTTGTTCCAATTCCCTCTTATGAAACAAAAAAAGAAATGTACTTTCTTTAGGGAAGGGGAAGGTTGTTTACAATTCACAAATGTAGTTTTTGCATGTGTTAAACTGATATTTTTTTCACGCAGCAATTCTCTTGGTTATATCTTAACCTATTCTGCTGTTTCTGTCAAAAGAATGCTTGTGAGAGAAAAATTTTGAGGTGTAAACTTCATTGTGATCTCCTATGTTTGTGTGCATGTTTGTCTAGGAAGATTAAAAGGGGAAAATTTCAGGTTTCAACTCCTTATAAATAATAGGTACAAGAAAGGATTATTTGGTAATATTTTGTTAGTTTCGTCTCCTCCCCTAATCTTCAATTTTTATACTAGAGAGATGTGCAATGGTACAAAATTGACCACAACAAACTTAACTTTCAGTTTACAAAGGTCTTGGAGAATGTTATTAATAGCCCATTAACTTAGTTCGGTGTCATAGTCCTTTCATGTCCAAAGATTCATTTCTTTGCCTTAGAATACTTAAAAAATTTGAATATGTTTTTAGAGTTCCTTATTTTGCAGTCCAGACTGCAAAATAGGAACTGTTGCATGGGGGACAGCCCCTAATATCAGGGGTCCCACCCCCATCCAGTGGTTTCAGTTGTGCAGTTTGGACTGCATAACACTTCTCTGATATTTTATTAGAGTCTAGTTTCATATCAGGTAGAGGTGATTTGTTATCTTTATATTTTGAATCTCATGTTTTCTCCAAAGACCTCTAAACTATGTTGTGTGATTGGCCAAATTTTATAGTTCTCCCATGTCTACATCGATATTTGCTAAAGGAGTATAAGAATTGATGTAGGTAAAATCTTTTGGATAGCTTGAGAGTTTGAGGGCTGTGTTGTTTGTGGCTCATCTCTTACCAGCAAATTCATTTAGGTTTGTTTTTCCACTTTTTGATCCTTCAGATTCACGACAATGTTCATAACTTCATGTTAATTCCCTGTTCATGAAGGAAGAGCTGTATGCCAAATCCCTCATGCATGGTGGCTTACGTATGCTTTTTGTAGGGATAGAAATGAGGCAAAGTAAATTTTGGATGAAACTCTAATAGCAATTCGTTCTGAACTTTTATGTTGCTTTCATTTGTAAAAGTTGCTGAATAACTAGCCATAATTTTGAACTAATTCTGACAACTGTTTAATTTATGACAACTAACTAAAACATTTTAGTCAAGGTGGTTGCTTATAGGCACCTTGGCTAGGTGCTAAGGTGAAGGACCATATGGTAAAAACAAAAATGCTTCAGCCCTTCCCTTGTGAGGTGCCTTTAATGAGTCACTCAATTTATTCTCACCTAAGGAGCTACAGTCTAAGGCAATGAGGCAAGCACCTTTGTGAACATTCTTGCAATCTTGTGTTTTGAGTTTTACATAAGAACTTAATCCTACATTAAAAGTTGTGATTTAATTCAAAGGGTTACTTTTTATCACCAATAAGGAAGCTCAATGATTTAGGAATCCTTTAAAAACTAAAAGAGTGGAATTGTCAGGGTTTAATAAGGAATGATACAGTAGCCAAAGTATAATAAAAAAATTAATGAAATTATGTGAAACTTATTTTATTTTTCATTCACACTTTTTTGTTTGCATTTTGTTTTAGGCAACTGAAACAGGGTACCTATTTACTTAAAAGAAAAACAGAAAACATGTCTTCGACATTTATATCATGGTATGCATCTCTTTGATTTTCTTTAGTATTTGATGAAAATATGAGAATCTAGAAGGCACCTTGCTTTCTTGGCAATAACTGCATTTTGGGAGGCTTTCTCCTCATGTACACAAATGTGTAGTGCTTCAGAGTCACCTTTTTGCTTTGAATACATTAGTTATACCCTAGTAACATCTCATGACTCGTATACAATTAAGATTTGCCTTTAGCATTGTGCTGTTTAAACTTTAAATAGGGGCTTTAACCTTTTTTTTTTTCTTTTTCCTTCAGATTTTATAATGGTATTTGTTGAAATGATATCTACGAGACTTTCATCTAAGCTAAATTAACATGCTTTGTTCTTTATGTTGCAAGAAATATCTTTTGGTCTTTTCCATCATTAACTGAATTTTCCTCATGAAGAAGACTGTGCATGGGTATGATTTGTTCTGGTCCTGGTACTATCTATTTCTTAAGGAGTGTAAAAGCAATCATATGTTGAGGTCATTACCATTTGGAATTCACCAACCATATTTTCATGTTACATGGAACTACAGTGCTTGAATAAAATATGAGTCCTTATGGCATGTTGCTGACATATGTATTCATAATGGAGCATTCATGATACTTCTATCAACTGAATCTTGGTTTATATTGAAAGTTTTCAAATTTTAATGTCACATTTCTTAGTAGGCATAAGATATGAAATTATTATCTTAGCAATTCTGATGTTTCCCCTCCTATCAAGACTATTGTTTATTAGTGACTTCTCTTTTTTTGTTAGCTTCCCCTAATAAATAAGAAATGGACGGAGATGAAGCAGAGAAGGAAATGCTTGGAGATTGGTATGTACTAAACAATTCGTTAATTTATTATGTCGCTAATAATAGATTGCTGACGTCAAATGATGTCAAATTAATGGATTATTGACATCAAATGATGTTGCACGTTAAATTTGAGGTGATTTGTCCAAATCAAAAATTTTGTAGCTGGATTTGTCCCCATTTTTTGTTTGAAGGTGGATCCGTTCTTGTCACTATACTTTGAGGGTGGATTTAGGTATTCTGCCGAATATAGTGGATGCTGAAATAAAAAAGGAGGATCAATCGATTAATGTGCTAAGAAGCAACAAGGCATTGGATGCTGACATTATAAAGGTAGCAACTTGTTTGGTTTTCACAGGTAACAACAATGATGTGAAAAGAGAGAGTAAGGAGGAGGGTCAATTATCTGATGTAGGTACAAGGGACAACAAGTTGGATGTTGAAATAAAATGGGACCAAAGGATTTAGTTTCGATTGGAAACAATGGTTTGAAAAAGGAGAACAAGAAAGGGGGTCAATTAGCTGATGTAGGTGGAAGGGAGAACAAGTTGGATGATGAAATTAATAAGGAATCAAAGGCTTCAGTTTCTACTGATAATAGTGATGTGAAAAAGGAGAGCAAGGAAAAGGGTCAATTAGCTGACGTAGTTGGAAGAGAGAACACATTGGATGCTTAAATAAAAAGGCAAGCAAAAACTTCAACATCCATTGTTTTCTCTCTTCCAACTACGTTAGCTAATTGACCCTTTTCCTTGCTCTCCTTTTTCAACTAAAGAGAGAACACATTGGATCTTGATTATTTCATTAAGAAGGCCACATAAATACTTCACTAAGACCTATAAATACCCTCGAGAGTCACGTAATTAAAACTGATTTAAAACTTTCCCTCTTTTCTTTCTTTGAGTAAACTAAATTATTGCTGATTTAAGCATCAAAGTATTTATCTCGAAAACCAACCTTAGGGCTTTGTAGGTCAGTTTGAAGAAAAGATTTGCACTAACACAATACTAATCACCAATAGAATTTTTACATCTTAAATTTTGAAGGCAAAACGTTATTTGGGGGGCAAAATGGTAAAATTAAAATCACTTTAAAAATTTACTTATTTCTTTAGATCTATGATGATCTATGATCACTAACATGTCACCCTAAATAAACTACGGACCACACAGCTGTTATTTCATAACTACAGAGCACATAACTGTTATTTCATCTCCCGCCCCTGTCAATTTTACTATTTTATCCTTTCCTCTAAAACACTCATTGACCTCTATTACTTGATGCCCTTTCCTCCATTTCTCTAACCCTTCTTCTCTATCCAAACAAAGTTCCATGGAAAAAGTTCTCGTTCAAGTGAGCTTCTCCTCTCTGTCGCACTTGAATTTTTGTTTTTCAGATGGCCATTGATGAACCTCTTGCATAGATTTCAAGTTAAGTATGTTATCGATGTTGGATAAAAAGATTGAGAGTGTTCCGTATCAAAATTTCTTTCAAATTCTTGTGAGGAACAAATTGTTACACTCAAAGAGTTTATTTATGATTCTCAAGTTAGTAATCTCGTGAAGAATTACTTGTTCAGCTTTGTGATTAATTTAAGATAATAATCACTAATATTAATTTTTAAAATTATAATATGTAATTTCGACACTAAAATTATATTTAGTTACTAAAAATTTGTCACAATAAACTATTTAAATTTGTATTTGTTAAAATTGTCACAATAAAATAACTATTAGTTACTTGAAAAATATTAGTTACAAATGATAAATTTGTCATAGATACTATTTTTTTCTTGTGACTAAAATTATAATTTGTAACAAATATATTTTGTAATTATATGTGAGTAGTTACTAAAAAAAAATCACAAGATGTAACTAAATTTTTGTCACAATTAATCCACAATTGAACTTAAAAAATAAATAAATAAATAAATAAATAACTAACAACGATATTAGTCACTATAAATTAGGTGAATATTTGTTACTAACAAAAAATTTACCACAAATAAACAAATTCCATCATTTATAAATTTGGTAACCAAAACATTTAAGTATCACCAAAATAAATATCAAAATCACAAAAAAAGAGTAAGTCTTTGTGAGATTGCTAAAATATCTTATATTACCATACCATGTGCCCAATACATTAGCATTTGGCTTTAGTTTGATTTTATTAATCCATAGCAACCTGGCTTTAACTCAACAACAGATTCATCCCTTTAGGTCATTGTTTCAATTTTTATGGGTTGTTGCTTGCTTAGAAAGTGTAGGAAAATGAAGAGAAAATGAGCTTTTATTTTTGTTTAAATTTACATTTTTTTAGTTCTTGTAAGCTGTTTGTTTTTGTGGGGGATTTCTATAGATTTCTATTTTTACTTGATTTATTACTTTAAGTTCATTGGAGGAGAAAATTGTAACCAGAGGAGAAGAGTAATCGGGGAAGAAGATGGAAGAGAGAGAAAGATAAATATATTTTTGGGTTAAAATTATTTATTAAATGGAAAGTGATGTGGAGGTGCCACGTTTGCAAAAAATTAAGTGTTTTATTTTACATGTCATTGAAATTTTAAAAAAGGGTCAATTTTGTGGCAACTTCACATGACACATGGCACTTCAATTGATGGAAAGACTAAATTGATACCAAAAATTGAAGTTTGAAGATATTTTTAATACTTTTAAAGTTTAAAGATATATTTAGTTTAAAAATAAAAATTGAGGGACCAAATCAAGTATTTAATCAAAACTGAAACCCCATCGAATATTTAACCAAAACTAAAACTCCAAATATTCATAATGTCTTGTTTATGTAGAATTGAATCAGAACAAAAAAAACT